TATCCAAGAAGACCAAACACACCTTTCTCAGACTCACTTAACAAAACGCCCCGGCCTCCTTGCGCCTGGTAAGGCTGGATAATGCATAGTTCTCTCATAAACTGAGGGACGAGACGATCAAAGACGCGCAAGTCCGTCCGAATGGGTGGAGCGCCGGTATCTATCAGTTGCAAAAGAGTGGATTGGAGTCGAAGCATGTCGCTACGCGAAACAGGGGGACGTTCGGGTTCTTCTGTGCCGATGAAAGCCTCTATTGGAGGTAATATACGTTCCGGCTAGAGAGATATTGAGCACAGAGAAGAGAGAAAACACAGAAAACGAACGCCATTGCAAGTGAAACCATCCTAAGGTGAAGGTCTGAGCTCGTTTTGTTTTTAAAAAAAGCTGTTAAATGTACCAGAGCTTCGTCGTAATCTTTCATCGCCAAATTGACGAGGCTTGCGGCCAGGACGTTGTCGTCCATGCTTGTTACAAGATGAGAAATGGCAACTTCCGTAGGATTCCCACCATCCCATCTTTGACGTCTTCCTTCATGCACAATCTGGCTTCGTTAACCTTTGTCCTTCTCTGTGAACGTCTGCCCCCAGGCCTTTTCGCCAGAATTATAAACGCGAATGGCGCCGTTTTGAAGGTCAAAATTCAAGAAATAAATTGCCCCGTGGATGCAGCTAGCCTGGCTATTTTCACTGCCGCCCAGGCCCTCAAAAAGTACGCCACGGACGACGAAATCTCTGCAGCCGCGACGCATGCTGCTAATCCTGAGTTCGGGTCACTATTTGAATAATCGTTGATAAACTAACATATGATTCAGTTCCAAGTACTGCGTCAGGTATTATGAAGCCAATTTTACTGACTTTGTTTCCTCCAGAAGAAAGAGAGAATCTTCAGAGCAGGAAGACTCAATGGAAGTCAAGGCACGCAGGTCAGACCTTCGAGTTTACCTTCCACTTTCACATTGAAACCATCGTTACAGCGTTAAACACGCCAGGTTTGGATCCTCCACATTCACGCCTCTGAAACCATTGAGCATTCACACAGATTTGACGATGACGATAAGGAAAATCAGCCGACTAATAGTCGCCATAAGCGCGTGCAGAACTTAACCCGCAGAAGGTGACGTTGGATTTGTGAAATGTTGATATACAAGCTCTGGTAAATTGTGGCCTAAACTTTTTTGAATTGATTGTTAACGGCGGATACCTACAGCATTCATCGTGAGGAAGAAATGTCGATTAATAAATCAGGGGAAATACCTGTGATAGGTAAGTTTGCTGCTCTCGACGTCTTTATCCTCCTTCAAGAAGCTGCTTCACTAGAATGGTTTCGACGTTATGACGATTAATAAATCAGGGGAAATACCTGTGATAGGTAAGTTTGCTGCTCTCGACGTCTTTATCCTCCTTCAAGAAGCTGCTTCACTAGAATGGTTTCGACGTAGCAAAGGAATCGGATTAACGCATAAATATATTTATACCCCAACCGCCTCTGTCCTTAATCCAACTTACAGCTCCACGATCGGATTGTAACACTAGAGAGCATCGTATACCTACATAGTGTAGATTAAAGTGTGTCATGGATGCAGACCGAAAAAAAATGAAATCTCCGTTTCGAGATATACGACCGCCCTGCGCACGGCTCACCTGCAGCCGCCAATTTCGCAATGACGCACCCCTGGTTTATCCATATCCTCCAAGTTCCTTCTGTTACGCCAGTTCCTGATACACCCTGACCCTCCGAACGCCAAATATCTGTTATTGTTCTTCGTTTCAGGTTCGCATTGGCCAGCCTAAGACTGTTAGTACGAAAAGGGCATAAAGGCTTCTGGTCTTACTTGATGACAGCAAGGGCTAATTGCATTCGACTGAGCATCCAAACAAAGTCCTCGTGGATGAGGCTGGTATCGCTGAGGTAGCACCTTCGTGCTAGTCGAATGATGGGTTGGCCTGTCTTTGTCTTGGAGAAACTGGACCCTATTAAATAATCGCCCATGTTCGCAACCCATTCTCCAGTGACACGGTGGCTGTAGTCTGCTTGCTGATGGTCCATGATCCCTTGGAAGAACCCCAACGCCGACGATGCATTCTTGCCCGCGGATTCTTGCGCCTCAACCACTATGAACTTTCTCCCTCCTCGTTGGCAATCAGGCGTCCAATTCATCGATTTTGTGCTCAAAGTCCCTTTAGCTTTCTTCTTGGGACGATCTCCGCCACAGGAGCATCGAGCAGCCCCATCGGTAGACGGCCCTGTGAGGCAGGTTAGCAAAGGTAGAAGTATCTGCTACATCTTGGACCTTACCGTTCACTATCTGCCTCTGCAATTCCTCACCGATGATGTTGATTTCGGGCGGAATTTCGCCACCGATGGCACTTCTGGCACTTGTTATGAAACGCTGCAGTGCCTCTGCCTGGTTTTTGCTCAAGAAGACGCGGTGAGTACTCATTATTTGCAAGTCGATTGCCAGGAATTGCCTCTTTCCTAATTGGTGAGGATCAAGAAAGGAACCAAACAAACCCACAGGGGTCGGAGCGTTCGCGCCGCATTTAAACTCCGCACACGGAGCCTGAATTGTGGCTCCAATCTCCGAAATCATCAAATGCTGATGGTCTCCGCGTTTCGTACGGAACGACGATGTCATTGTCTTCTGCAGAGTCAGAACGGTCCTCTTGGGATTGCGACTGTCAGACTTTCGAGGAAGATGATCCTACGGGTAAATGAATTTGTTGAATCTCAAAGTCGGCACTGACGTTCTCCTAGAATTTATGATACGGCGCGCGGACCTTGACCGACTTGACGGCCTAGCATTTCACCCGACACGTTGTATATTGTGGCCTAAAGATCCAGTTGCAGTCGAAGAGGAGATGTTGGAGAGTCATATTCAAGCGGAATTGGGCATGGCATTTGCGAAGAGTATTGTGTGGCGCGTAGCAGTTCTGGTATGTCCTTAGCTCCTTCTTTCTCGTGATGGAGCTGAACGTTCGTAGGCTGGATTAGAACTGACCGCGGCGTCCACTATCCGTCGCCTGTGTACATATAACACCGCTCTGCCTGGGATTGAGTCGGCGACCGCCGTAAAGGAACACCGCGGTTCTATCTTTGTCTTTGTCGGCAGAGGGATCGACCCCACAGAACTCCTAAAGCGTGTTGCATATGTCAAATTGTTCCCCCTCCCGTGCATCGTCGACCTCGCCATGCAAGAAACTGCCTCTCTGGATCTGCTCTGGCATTGGGTTCGAATCATTCAGCCAGGCCTCTATTGCGGAGACTTGGCTAAAGTTATAGAGATCAGCGATTACGACGACTCCATGACGATCCTCGTAGTCCCTCGCCTGCCCATAGGTCAACCGGGCCGCCCTAAACAAAACCTGTATCTGCCGACCGAAGAGTTTGGCGAGTATAGCGGTTACACTTTTCGAAACGGCCTCCTGGTCTTGACGGCGATATCCTGGTATGACGTTTCCGAAGAATACGTCTATCCCCTGGCAGAGGAAGAGGAGTTATTTACAGGTATAAGCTCTTTCTGGGCGCCAAGTTCCAGGATATCAGAGTTTGAAGTGGAACCCGGTGATCAAGTTGTCATCCTGTCGGGTCAATGGAGCGGTCGCGTTGCTGAAATCATATCCAATCGCCAGGGATCTTATTTGCAGTTGGACCTGTGCTATCAAGACGATTGCAATCGAGTAAAGCCCTTTGCAATCCAGATGTCGGAAGTCAGGGTGCTCTTTGCAGTTCACGACTTGGTCGAGGTGACTGTTGGAAAATATGCAGGGAATACTGGCTACATTCAAGCTCTTGACTGGGAGAAGTCAATCGTGAACGTCGGCCAAAGAAGAACTGCCCTGCTAGATCTTCAGGACGTTTACCGTGAACCACGGTGGCAAAAACTGGATAGAAAATCTCAATGGAGAGTGGTGGGTAAGCCATTGAATTCTGAGAAACACTGAACTAATCAGCCTGCAGTTCCAAGTAGATATCAAGCACATACGTATAATTAATCGTGATCGCGAGATTCCTGAAACGAAGCCATTTGACCAGATGGAAGTCGTCATAACGGGGGGCAAACATGACTGGAGGGGTTATTACGCCGTAGTTGTTCGTTCATCCCCGGGGAACTGTGAGATTGAGGTCGCTGTTGAAGGGCTTGCAGTCGGGCGGCCAATCATCAAGCTGGATGTTACAGATGTCCTGGAGCGAACGTGAGTATTATCAGAGTTGGTCGACAAACCCTAACATTTTCAAAGTACGCATTTGCCTTTGGCTACTGCCCAACGTGTAGGGCCAGCAATACGCCTGGCCAATCTTCGCTCCAAAACGCCACTGCCCGTGCGCTGCTCAACTCCCGAACTGAACATGGAAGAGTGTGCGCACGCTCAAGAGCCTCAAGCTCCTGCGCTGCCTGAGCCTGAGCCCCACTGGCTTTCGGACAAACGTCTATTGCGCGCCAGACTCGACGTGAAAATCGAGAACTCGTCCAATTATCGCAACGGCATCCTGGAGGGGCGGACAGGGTTCATTCGAGCGCAGGATCGACTTGCCGTACCGCACGTTGCAAAGAAGCCCACAGTCCAGGTCTTGATAGGTCTCCAGCACAAGATGTTCAAGATCCCTACGCAATATGTTTCTCCCCAGACGACGACGGAACGAGAGGGTGAGACTACAAAAGAAGCTGCCACTTCTATTCTGTCACAAATTGGCGCCACCGTCGTAATAATCGGGGAGGACACAGAGGGATGCGGAGATTACGTTGGGTATGTTGGAGAGGTTGTTTCCGAGTATGGCGCCGTTCGATTGGTACGGGAAATGGATAGGCAGGACTTATTGCAGGTTTTGCCAGAGGGAGAAATCGTACGAGGATTTGGAGAAGAGTCTGTATGTAGAACCAGCAATCGCATCGGCTATTGAACTCGTTGAGTCTGTTGTATATACACTGTGACACTTCGTCATGGTAAATGGACGGCGGTACCACGAACCCTCCCCCACCCCTCGCGTCCCGCAACTTCAACGGCGCTATGGCCGAGTGGTTTAAGGCGACAGATTTGAACTATTCACTATCTGTTGGGATCTCCCGCACAGGTTCGAACCCTGTTGGCGTCGTCTGCTATTTTTGGTCTCTTGATCCCCGCTTTTGCTCTTGATCGCATCTCACAGTACCTTGAACAAAGTGTGCATAGTGTACCCATACGCCGTTAGCCATGTGAGATTTTGGACAGCGCGAGGTCGCCGTTCCAACTGGAATTGAAGAGAAATAGCAGAGGTCACATCATGTCACATTGCTCACACGGTTCAATTCCTAGAGCGATGGGAACCATCGCTCAAAATTATCGAGCTTGAGCGAGAAGTTTGGCAATGGACACAATTGAGCTCATTTATGAATTTCAACCTGTAATTCTACCCAAGCACTGTGGCCGGAAAGGTGGGGTGGAATTCAGGGGCAGATTTTGAATTGAAAGAGCCAATTTATTGCCTTCCAAGCGTGTACTTGACCATTTTGGCCAGTACTCGGTACTGGCAGAAATGGACGCCTGGTGAATGCCAGAAAACGGAAAAACTTCGCCACGCCCGAGGGAAACACTTGGCCTTGTCGTCCGGTCTGGCTATTAATGTACCAAGTATAAAACTGCAGTTGGCGCTGTGGTCCGATAGTGGTTAAGGCGACAGATTTGAATTTGTGTCATTATCTGTTGGGATCTCCCGCACAGGTTCGAACCCTGTTGGTGTCGAGCTTACTTTTGTATTTTTCTTTATTTTTTTTAGATTTTTTTTTGTTTCGAAAAATCTCATTCAATCTTCTTCAAGTCCCAAAACTGACTACCAGCAGCAAGCGAGAGCTATAAGAAAGCCTGCGGATTAGGGTTACGGTATGCTTCCTGAAATCCCCATGCTGGGAAAATCAAAATTCTAAAAATAAGTCACAGAGGAAAATGGCCAATACAGCAGTAAAGTACCTGTAAAGGAGACCATATTACTATTTTAAATCGATCGGAATTTGAGCTCATTACAGAGCCCGCAAGTTGGTCATTTTTGGCGTTTTAGAGCCATTTTTGGCCATTTTGAGTCAAAATGACGAATTTGCAGTAAACATTGTGAGCTCAAATCCCAAGCAATCTAGGTCAAATAAAATGGTAATGAGGTCTCCTTTACGAGTGCTTTCACACTGTATGCACCATCTTTCAGTACGATCTAATTTTAGAATCTTGATTTTCCTGAACACCCTTACTTTTCTCATTACGGAGGAACGGAGCTGGTGCTATATGGATTAAATTGCATGAAACATCATAGAATTGAGATTAGTGTATGGTAGCATTTTATTTAAAGTAATTCGGTGAAGAAACGATCCCAAACGACAAAGCTCATTTCTTTTTGCCGCCACTGTATATATACACATGCAGCTTCCAGCAAGGAAGCTGACACGGACCTGGCGTGGAAGTGTGCAAGAAGGCACCTCACACTAGGGGCAAAGACCCAGGCACATGAAATCATGTGCGATAAACGCACGTCTGTCGCAGATGGACCGGAGATATCAAAGGGTAATGTGACAATTTAACAATGACTCTTTACTGCACAAAGGCAAGACAAAGGCTAGACAAAGGGCAGGACCAGCTCAGGGCAGGATTCCCTGCACCTGGGAAACCTCCCCTGCCCTTTGTCTGGCCTTTGTCCAGCCTTTGTCTAAGACAGAGCAATTGTTAAACCGTGACCTATCCTTTGTATACTGTACTATTTCGACCAAATGTTCACTGATTTTGGTTTTTTCGTCTCCGAGACGACCGAAAAATTTCCTTTTGAATTAAGGTGATTTTTGCACACATCATATAAAGTTCAGTGTCACCCGTCACTGAACATTTGGTCGAAATACTACAGTAGTCTTTTGATATCTCCAGTCCATCTGCGTCGAATGTGCATTTATCGCACATGGCTTCATCTGCCCGGGTCTTTGCCCCTAGTGTCAACGATCCTATGACCCACCAGCAACCTGCAGGAAGCCTCGTGCCTGGCTCTTGGTACAGGGCGCTAATTCTGGGGCCCTCCCAGTCCAGGCCATAGTCGGCGGGCCTCGTGGCAACTTTGGACTACTGTGCCGCAACCTTCCTGCACACCTTCCCTGCTGGAAGCTGCATTTCACCTTCGATAGTGTTTGGCCCCAGTAACACAGATTAGGGTCATTGTACACTTATACTGTATGCATCTTTATTAGCGGTCAGAGTAACTTTTCAATCGCCGTTTATGGATCCGTTTAAGCAAACATCGAGAAACAACAATTTGCATAAACGGCTCTGGAGCCGTTTATGCAGTCGTTTATGAATTGTTTAATGCGCCAAAAAAAAAATCAGGTCGTTTATTCCCACGTTTCTGTCAAGTTTTTGATGCTAAAAATTTGCATAAACGACTTGATAAACGACCCCATAAACGACGCTATAAACGCCTCATAAACGGCCGAAAAAGTTACTCTGACCGGGACTTTTGTAACAAGCGAAGAAAAAGGAAATTTTGGTGCGGGATGGTGGGCTAATGAAGGCCAGGGCACGAGAACAATGAGTGAAGATGAGGAGAAATAAGGAGCGTAAAGTCGGTGTTTGTCGACATCTCTCTATGTCTTCTCATTGGACGATCAATGCTTTACGTTACCTTCGCCTTACTCAAGTCACAGAAAAGTCACAGAAAAGAAAGTCCGGTCCGAAACATCCGCGGTCTATGAATAAAAAAATACCGCTACTGTGACTGAAGCACGTCGGAACTACGGCTGGGAAGGAACCTGGTTCAACCCTTTTGGCGTCGACTGGTCTTTTTCTTTCAGTTTTTTTCACTGATTACGCTCTTCCACTGAGGCCAGGAGGCAGTGCAGACCACCCACCCGTACGCACGCCTCCTTTTGGTTCGCCCATTGGACGTCTTTGCGTAATTGCCTATATAGTATATTCTCTACTACGAATGGTCCCGGAATGGAAACAGCAACATCGCATTCGCGAATAATGTCGTTCCCCGTCATCTATGGGCCTCCACTGCGGTCAGAAATACACTGGAAAAGTGCATAGTTGGACACTAGAACATTCTCGGTGCGAGACTTATTGGCAAAGGTAGGATGAGACTCGGATTTAATTCGACACTTGTACTTGAGTCTACTTGAGTGGTGTGAATAGTAGCGAGCTGGTTTAAGACTCGGTGAAACGCTAAACGGAAACAAAAGCTGTATGCCGTACTACGCGAGAGTACGCGCACCATGAAATGTAATATCGTGGCAAGGAATATAGGTTGTAATTGTGTCAATCAGTGGCGGTGAAAAGGATCTTCACCTTCACGCTGCCTTCATGTGGAAATTTTCATTTTCATTTTCCCCTGAACAACGCGTACGGATCTCACGTCGTTGCAAATGACGCGCCTCAGCCTTCCCTTAAACACGATCAATGGAGACAGCCTGAGACACGTGGGGCCATGGACGGGATATCGGGATGGACATGCCGAATAAATAGTCCAACTCGCCTATCCGGCCCATTCGCTCCTGGTCTCAACCATGAAGACCGCTTCCCTTCTTTCGTTCATCTATCTCGCCACTCTTTCGGCTGCAACAGTTCAGCACCCGCGTGTCGCTCGTCGCCTCCAGGCACGCGCCGATGCCGCCTCGTCCGCCTCGTCCGCGTCCGCGTCCGCGTCTAGCGTTGCTGCTGCTTCTACTTCCGCTTCCGTAAACATTACTATCTCACCAACGTCTACCCAGACGTCCACTTCTGTCGCTTCTTCCATTTCTGCAAATGCTAGCAGTACCACTGTCGTTTCAAGCTCCAGCGCCCAGCCCTCAGCCACTTCTACTCCCATAAACGCTTCCACCGCCCAGGACATCGCCACCCTGTACGAGCGCCGTCTCAGCAACATTGTCGGTGAGCTCACCAACGTGAGTTCCATCGACTCCTGGTACGCACACTCGTTTCGCGGTCCTCGCCGATTTACTCAATAAAACCCAGGATTGACACCCTCAACTCGACCGGCCAATGGCCCGATGTCGACTACACAACGGGCTGCCCCGCCCAACGCGCCAACTGGCCGGCCGAAGAGGTAGGCACATACTTTACTCTGCACGTGGTGCCCACTCATATCTCGGTACGATAGCACTGGGCCCGAATTGGTGCGCCTATTTGCTTTACATTTACTCGTCCTGAACCCAGTGATCGCACTAGCTATACTGGCGGGTGCTTGGCACGGAGGTTTACCTGGCGCTGATGCGAGCCTCGTCAAAAGCACAAGTCTTCGTGCCAACCTCGCCCTCGCCATGGACTGGTGGTTCGCGAACGACTTCCAAAGCGTCGACCCTGACTGCCTGGACTTTGGCGGAGATACCCAGTGCCCTTGTGGTACTCCTGGCATGTGGAATACTGTAATTATATCTTTCAGCCGCTCAATTCCCTCGATTGAAGGATCGCATCTTATAGAACTGGTTCTCCAACATCATAGGAACCCCGGAGCTAGTTTCACAAGCATGTCTCCTGCTCAACGGCACACTTTCGGAACCCGAAATAGGCAATTGCACCGTCATGACGGCCCGGGCGTACAACGCTTTCATCATTCCCGCCAACGGAGTCGGTGTGCTCACCGGTGCCAATGCACTCGATGTCGCCAAGGTACGTTTTCGCTTCCCTTCTGCGCATGCGTATTCACAAAAAAAACACAGATTGGAATCGATCTCGCTCTGCTCACTATGAATGTCACTCTTTTGACAGATGCGTATTCCAGAGTTCACGCACAAATGTCCATCAGCACTCCCGCCCGTGCCGATGGGATTCGTCCCGACGGAAGCTTCGGTCAGCACACCGGCATTCTTTACAACGGCAACTACGGTTCGTTCGTCTAATTCCCATCGAACACATGATTGATTGAACTTTGTTACAGGAAAGGACTTGTACGCTCATGTGCCAGCTTGCGTTCCCTAATACTGACTTCGAGACAGCACCAACGACGTGGTCGATCTCGAAGTCGAGGCCGGAGGAACCCAGTTCCAAGGCAGCCCCGCCGCTCAAAATGCGATGGCTACGTTGTTCGATGGAGACAAATGGATGATTTACAACAATGCGCTCACCAGCGTGCTCCACTGGGACTTTGTGAGG